CACAGGAACCTTACAGAGGTTACAACTAATAACATATATAACGGACAGAACTCAGTTTTCAGACTGAAACAATAAAATTACAAATTATATTCCCAATTCCTTTGGACATGAAATTAAACACACTAATAAAGCAGAAATTCTAACTATTGAACATTAATGTACAGCAGAGGTATCCAAACCTTTTGTCACATTGGTCAAAACTGTCAACTGAAAAACACTTAAGGGCTAAAATTAAACTAAAATCAAGCCACCCAAAGGAGACACCTGAAACACATAAAACTTCAGAAAATGAAGGTCCTGCTGGAGCAGGACCCGCTAAATCAGTATAGCAGCCGAAAGGGCGGGGGAAGAGCAGCAAAGAACGTGATTAATAAAAAAAATATACTAAGTCTCAACATAAAACAGGATTACTTTCATATTGTAAAAAGCGAAAGGTCAGTGAAGAGGACATCTGTTTAATCCAACGCCAAAATAATGAACTGAAACAACACTGCAGTGACCCTGGAAACCAGTCATTGATCAAGGGTGGAGCATACATGAAGACAATATTTTAAGATGCCAAATCGCTTTTCAATGTCAGTTGAAAAGAGACTGAGTCACCGATTTTGCTCCATACACCTGGGTCATATTGACTGAATCCAATTCCATTAAAAAAAAAAAAGAAAAAAGTTTGGCACCACAACAAGACCGTCTTCAATTACATGATCAATAATTATCATCCCAGCTCCAACCCACCTGAATCAAATGGCCGGATTTCCTCACCATGCTAACCGGGCCTGATAGTTCCAGAACCGACTGAGCACTGCGGGTTTAAATCATTAGGTGCAGCTCCATCAGCTCTGGATGCAACATTTTTCTTTGCTAACCTGTTTGAGCAGTCTGGGAGACTGCTGCCCTCAAACTTCATGAAGATGGAAGATTAAGACAATGTTGCACCAAAATACTTGACAGCTAAAACATTTCTTGGAAACCTTCTGAATTCCTTGACTGAGAGCATTAAAGCTCATCACCTGGACAGCACAACCTTTACACAGTGGTTTGATCCAGATCACAGATCCCTCCACCATTAAAAGACAAAAAACAGAACCAAGAGTTTGTACTGAACAAGCTTTTATTAGGCGAGTTATTCTTTCTTGGCAGCAGCCTTCCTCATGGCTGCCAGGACGTTGCTCAACTCTTCTCTCTTCCTCTTGGCCCGGATGTGTGTGCCAATCTGAAAATCAAGAGATGTTTTTTTATTTTTGTACATTATATTTACTATATGAAAAACAACATTCTTAATTACAATTTCTTTGTTTTAAGTCAGGATCAAGACATTTCTGATTTCTGATCCAAGTCTAAACAAGTAATTGTTTTAGAAAATGATTCTATGGCCAAAGAGAAGATTACAATTCTTGTCATTTTCTGAAAGGCCACATTTTATAATGGCTTTCATAGGTTCATTCACATCTCAGTTAACTGGAGGAATAAGTTGGGATGCATCTTAACAGGCAGCACACCCCAGACACACAGCTTCATATCTGTTGAAAATTAACCACTTATGGTTCTCTGCAAGGCTGCTACCTTATTGGGTTCCCTTTCAAGATATCTGAGGTGTCGTGTTCATCTGCATGTGAAGTATCAATCAATCTTTATTTGCACAGTATTATTGCACACTGAAGAGTGACCAAATAAAATAGGCAAAATGGTTAAATAAAAACAATGACAGAATAAAATAAGCAGTAAAAGCAGCAGCCATCACACTGCTCAGGTCAGATGGGTTATGCATCTCAGTGATGGAGATTCTGGGGTCAACAATACCAATAAAGCTCAGAGGAAAAGCTAAAGGCCTCCTGAAGATGCTACACTGCATCTCCCAAGTATTCACAGCACTTCACTTTTTCCACATTTTGTTATGCTAAAGCTTCATTCCAAATTGTATTAACATCTTTCCTTCAAATTCTACAGAAATGCTGCGTTTCCACTGGTAAGTTGCACTCAAGCCGGTTAATGTGCAGCTTGGTTCTACCCCAGAGACACTGTACACTCTGCAAGAAGTGAATGATGTGTAGGAAAGAATGGACTGTTTTCTGCTTCACTGATCACCATCACAACTAAAACATACACACACACTACGACCAGGAAACTGAAGGCTCTAAGGCAGGCAAAACTGCTTGAAAACAAAATGTAAACAGTTTCATTTCTCTAATCAAATTTTCTTCATGCATATTTGAAATAGTTTATAAACAGAAAGGTAATGAAAATGCACTCCCCCCCAGTTACTACAGTCTTATGCATTACCAGCAGTGATAGAGATAGACAATCGATTTTTCAAAGATGTACATCTTTTCGCAAAACAAAGATAGTAATATAAAGGACATCTTATGACAGAGACCTGTCAACCCTTTATAATAATAGCACTATGAGTTAGCCTAGACTACCGTATTTTCCGCACTATAAGGCGCACCTTCAATGAATGGCCTATTTTAAAACTTAGGGCGCACCGCATTATAAGGCGCATACAATAGAGGCTGGAGTTACGTTATTCATCCACTAGATGGCACTGCACTAAACGGAATGTCAACAAAACAGTCCGACTCCGGTCCGCGAGGAGAGCCTTCCGCCACTGGGCCGGGGCATGGGCGGACGATGGTCACCCTTCTCCGTTCGCGCACGCAGAGAACGTGGTGCTAAATGACCTGCAGACGACCTGATTCTAGACGGTCGGTAGGTAGATAGGTCAGTCAAACTTTATTAACAAACCAGTGTTCTGACAACTATCCCAGCATGCACCACGCGCTTCTTCTTCTACGGGGGAAAATGAAGTCGGCGGCTGCTTACCGTAGTTGCTAGACCTGTTGTGGGTCAATATTGGTCCTTAAATAAGGCCACCAGATTATAAGGCGCACTGTTGGCTTTTGAGGAAATTTAATGTTTTTAGGTGTGCCTTACAGTGCGGAAAAAACGGTAGTTAGATCACCATGGTAACTTCTAAGCATATAACTATTACTAAGTAATATGTTCCACAAGTGTTAAAGCTTCATTATATCTCAGTAAATGAAGTAAAGTCTGACTCCATTTTCACTGAAGTCAGACTCCAGTGAAAATCAATTTCTTCGATAACGCTTACAGGTGGTCCAATAAATACACACCTGGCTTATCAGAGAAGAGTAGACTGCTACAACAGCTGAAACTGTACATGAGCAGATGTGCAAAAATAAACTGCTCTTTATATAATGTCAGACATGACCTTAAGATCCAGTGATGCCACAGTAGTGAATCTACATTGTTGGCTGAATTTCAAACCAAAATTGATAACACTGATAACAAAATGACAAAAATTGTCTAAACACTATTGGCAGGAAATCAAGAGTGCCCTTACTGTTATCTAAATGGACAGCACGTAAAATTCTGAATTGGAACATTTGTGATATTGACCAAGTGTCTTTTAGGAATATAGGTGACAATAATGAAAAAAAAACAAAGACAAAAATACTGCTGTCACGTCTGAAGCAGCCAGTGATGGCCCTTCTCACCCTCTTCTTGATGAACTTCAGAGCTCTCTTGTCCTTGGACACCTTCAGCAGCTCCATTGCTCGCCTCTCATACGGAGCAAAGCCACACACTTCACGGATCGTGTCCCGAATAAACTTGCTGTGTTTGGTCAAACGCTGCAAAGTAACACACAACTGTCAAATTCAAACTAAACCAAGAGCACATTTGTGGAAAAGTATAGCTTTTAAAAATTCAACATGGCCTGCTCTGTATGCAGAGAAGCTGATACTTACCCCGCGTCTGCGGCTGTGTTTTGGAGCAGTAACATTTTTGGTTACTGGATGACCTTTGTTGAGGCCAACAGCCATGGGATAACGAATAGCCATGTCTGCATAAGACCACATGGAAACATCAGAATAAAACACTTAATAATGAGGGCTAGCACAGCGCTAAACATGAGCCAAATACAGCCGAGCAGCAAAAAAATAACCGAGTCACAGTTTTGATGCACCAAGTAATAAAATTGCTTCAATCACAATATTTCTATTTTAGAAGTTAGCTTTGTGACATTCTCTACTTCATTTACTGCCTCTTATCACCTCAGCAGCCGTAATGAACTTAGGTAGCAGTAGAAACACGCCACTGGGCCTGTGTTCATTATCTCACGCCGTGCCCAAAGTCAAAGTTCTTAACACGCATCGACATTGAGTTAATTCAACTGGTTTCCAGAACATCAAAGAGCCATGTTTTCCGATTAGCCTCTTTGCTCGACACTTGTTCATCTGAGTTTAATTTGAACCTCAAATCATTCTGAGAGGTCCCTCTGTTAGAGAGACTTGCTGTCCCGGTATGCTAGCCAAGCCCTACCGAATATGGTGCCAAGTTAAAAAGCTAACGCTTCCTGAAATATTACGGTGCAATATTACTCAGAAATAAATAAGAGAGTTCATGGTTGTGTTTGAAAAAAACGGATAAACGAAAAAGGGAAGGATGGCAAAGATTTGAATAAGATTCTAGCCACTACTCGGGCATTAAAGTAACTTACCTGCTGTCTAGAATGGCGCTCAAACCGGAAGGACCGTTGATGGGAAAAGGCGGGGCATAAGCGGGCTCCCGTAGGAAAGCACTAATATTAGCGCCCCCGGTGGCTTGGAAGTACTATAGGATTTCGGCGAGTTTCAAAAACTGTAAAAATATGTTTTTCTATACCAACAATTAGAAGAACGTGTTATTTCTATGGAGGAACAAAACTACATATATTCCCACAGACAATAAAGCAATGTTGTAATTCAAATCTCACATTTAGAAGAGTTGGGGAAGCTTCTGTTTTATGTTTTATGGAAATATAAATATTATGTTGTATATTATATTACAGCTCTTTAAATCTATTACATATTGAGATTCTGAGAGAAACAGGGATTCCACCTGCAGTGAACACATAATTCAATAAACAGAAAAATGATATATTTTTATATAAATAGTTTTGGCGCCTCATTTTTCTCCCATCATGCCTTGTAAAACCGGAAACACCCTCAGCTTTTGGCGGGGTGTCAGCCATCTTGGAATCACATCACCGTGTGGAACGAGGCTTGCCTGTTTCACGCTGCTGCAACTCATTGATAGCTTTTCTTTGGTTCATCGGAAAAAACCGTTGCTCTGATTCCAACTGAAACCAGCACACAACGCTTGGTTTTCTGTTTTTTAACTTCGTAGTGAAGCAAACTCAGGATTGATCGTCATGGCGACTGTTCGCGTTACTCCAAGCCGAGAAGCTGGTCGGCCAGCGGCCTCTACGCCTCTGTCCCCCACCAGGATATCCCGCCTACAGGAGAAACAAGACCTGCAGCATCTCAACGACCGGTTGGCCGTTTACATCGACCGTGTCCGGTCGCTGGAGCTGGAGAACGACCGATTGATGGTCAAGGTGTCTGAGAAGGAGGAGGTTACTACCAGAGAGGTGGGTGTTAAGAAGCTCCCGCTGCCCGCGGCTTTGCTTTGACACAACAGCTGAATGAGAAGCAAAGAGGCGCTGTTAACTGTGTAACTGTCGGTTAGAGGGGAGCGTTGGCCGGATGCAGGATGGGCTGGATCTTTGTGGTGCTATTGATCAGGAAATCCAACTGGTCCTCAAACAGAACTTTTGGTCATTTTGCCCTGTTGCTGCTCCTGTTTTCAGCCTTAGTGATCACCAGGAGACGGGTACCGAGTGAGCTTGGTATTTTATCAATGAGAGCCAGCCTGCCGCACTCTGACAAGGATTTAACAAACTTCAACAAATCTAGTAACAAGTAATGCTGTAAAAACTAAACTAGATTGAGGAGGTGTTTATTGTTTACTTTCAGTTACCATGGATACATTGGTTTGCTATTTGCAAACATATCTCTTATAATGATCAGCAGACTGGGTCTTGATGAACAGGTTGCATAGTTGTGCTATTAATGGTGGACACAGTGGGTCCTTTGCTCCTTGCCAGGCTGCCTGTAGAAGTGCCTGAGCTAAAGGGAGATACCTGCTGGTGTCCTCCAGAGAGGATGAAGAGTTTCCTGAGAGGATGGATGGACTTATGGTCAGCTGACTCCAGCATGCACCGCAGAACACTGGCCTGTAGTTCGGTCGGTTGGAGAATTTCAAATAATGTTTCACTTCATGTTTAGAATTCCTCTACAAAGACATGAAAGTGTTATTGGGAGTTATTGATTAAACATAACTCCCATTTTACCTTATCTCCTACGTTCCATTCCTGGTAGATTTGCATGACAGGCTTCACTGCTGCTGTTTTCTGTTTTTTAGGTAACGGGCTTGAAGGCTCTGTATGAGGCAGAGCTGGCTGATGCTCGGCGGGTTCTGGATGAAACGGCTAAAGACAGAGCCAGGCTTCAGATCGACCTGGGGAAGGTCCAGGCTGACCTGGATGAAGCCACTCGGAGGCAAGTGAAGACCTGCTGCAGCTTCCTAAGGGAAGACGCGCAGTAACACTGGGGAATAATGTGATGATTGTATGGCTTGTGATAAAGATTTACCTGAACAGTGTTGATGTCTTTCTGCTCTGGTATATTCCAAACACAGAGTCCTATTTAGCAACTCTTATTTGTCCCAACAACCTGGTAGAACTGGAAAAGTTCCATCTGCTGTTTGAGAGATCCAGTTGCCCTATAAACATATTCTGCTGTATTAAACAGTGAGCAGCACCAAAAACACATACAGCTCCAAAAATAAGAATATGCTGAAAAAGTTTAATATTTGCTGTCACTCATATTAGAAGTGAAAATTCATCACGGTGCAATATTTCAAGCCTTTATTTCTCGTAATTTTGATGCCTGTGGCTTACAGAATGAAAAAATTTAATTAATTTGTTTATATTAGAGCTACAGCTATTCATTATTGTAATAATAGTTTATTTTGATGAGTCAATTAGTCAGATAAATAGTTGGCTGCACATTCGGTAGATTTTTTTTTATTTAACTACTTTATTTTGCTAAAAATACTTGCAAATGCAAATAAACAAATAATTCAATTCCTCTTTTTAATGAGACGAGAAACAATTTATTTCCTAAAATCCAATAACAACATTCCTTCTAACATCAACATGTGGAAAAACTCAGCTCTTTCTGCTGGACTGAACATAATACAGTGTAGAGCTGACATGGGGATTATTTTTTTGGATTAACTCAACTGGACAGGAAAAATTACCTAGTGAGAGATTATATTTATTAATTCGTGTTTTTTACAAAATTGGAACCAGGTGAAGCTAAAATTGCTCCTTGAGGAGTTCTGGGTCTGACATATTAACAGACGAAGATGTTTTTATTCTAACTAAAAATGTTTAAAAAAAATTCATAGTTTTGGCTGACTAACTGCTCTGACTGGGTTGTTTCAGCAAATTATCATTTTTTGAGTCTGTATACTCCAATTAACAATTAACTAATTACTAAAGTAGGCAATGATTAACTAAACACTAATGTGCTGACTTTTTACATAAACTAGGGCTTCAGCCGATGTATGTATGAACATATAAACTATGCTCTATATTGCATGAACTCAGAGCCTGATACATGCATGGTGACACTTTGTGCAGCTCTGTTTGAGTTGATTGTGAACATTTGAGCATTCTGGGTGAAGGTCTGTGTGAGCAGGGGAAGTTCTTTGACTCCTTTTTTTTTTTTTTGCTCTCAGTTCCAAAAAGAAAGACAACGATCTCACTGCGGCGCTGTCCAGGGCCAACGGGCTGGAAGGGCAGCTGAATAAGAGTGAAGCATCTCTTGCCACAGCTTTAAGTCAGAACGCTGCCCTCATTTCAGAACTTGCTGACGTAAAGAATCAGCTGGTGAAGGTAGGTACTGTATGGGTCTCTGCTAATAAAAGCTATGGAGTAAAACTAGAGAGTGGTGAGCTGATTGACAGCGGGGGCCCAAAGCCTTCAGGTGGGGTCTGGTCTGCTAGATGCTCACTCTCTCTAGCCTCCTTGGAATGGCCGCTCTCCTCGTTTCAGTGGAACATTCCTGGACTTCAGTCATCAACTTGCTCAGAGGATCTAAGAGCTCATGTCATCTACTTTGTTCTGTGAGATTTCATCATGACCACATTGACAAATGCTTGAGCCAGAACTTTAATGTTCAGTAATTCTGATTTTAAATAACTTTTTTTTATTACAATCTCCCTTCATTCTGAGTACAATATATATTTTTGAAAAAAGAAAAAAAAGACAAGTCTACTGAGTGTTTTCTGTGTTATTGGGGTCGCATTGAAAATGAATTTCGTGTATAAAGTTGAAAAACTCTGATAAATGTTTGCAGTTCCATCTCCAGATTGACCACCAAGGGGTTTGTGTCTGAGTGAGTTGGTTTTATCTGCCTGAACCAGGGCTGAGACCATTTGTAACCAACAGGAAAAGTCAATGCTGGTAGTCAACATTCAACCCAAAGGGAGCAGCATTGAGATGGTTTTAGACTAAATAATTAAGAAGGACAATGGTGTAGTTGGTGGAGCTGTTGCCTTGTAGCAAGAAGGGTTCAATTCCCAGCCTGGGGTCTTTCTGCATGGAGTTTGCATGTTCTCCCTGTGCATGTTGGGTTCTCTCTGGGTACTCCAGCTTCCTCCCACAGTCCAAAAACATGACTGTCAAGTTAATTGGCCTCTCCAAATTCTCCTTAGGTTTGTGTGTGTGTGTGTGTGTGTGTGTGTGTGTGTGTATATATAGTTGTTTGTCCTGTCTGTCTCTGTGTTGCCCTGCGACAGACTGGCGACCTGTCCAGGGTGTACCCCGCCTCTCGCCCAGAATGTTAGCTGGAGATAGACACCAGCACCGCTCCCGACCCCACCAGGGACAAGGGAGTACGGAAAATGGAGGGATTTAAGAAGGAAGCAAATTTATAAAAAAAAAATTGTCACAGAAACAAAAGATAGAACCCTTAAGGTCCAGTTGCCATAGTTTATATGTATAAAAGTCTGATTTAGGCTAATTCCCTTTTAAAATGGTAAACAACCAGCCAGTCAAACTGCATGAATGAGGTCAGAAAATATCTGATGAACTGAAAAGAAATTCATCCAGCTAAGAGGAAGTAAGAACTTCATCCTGTGTATTACCATGGTTACCCAGTCCACACTACGTCAGTCATAGAACATCAGTCATCTAGTGTAAGCTAGCTAGAACTAAATCTTTCTTCTGTTTTTCCTACCAGACCAACCCCCATCTGTTCTCACTAGAACTTAATGAATCACCAACACTCCTCTTGTCTCAAGCACTGTACTGTTGGACAACAGTTTTTTTTTTTTTTTTTTTTGTACTTTTGCTGACATTGCTGAATGTTGTGTCGTGCAGGCTGAAGACAGCCATGCTGTGGCCAAGCGGCAGCTGGAGGCAGAAACCCTGATGCGTGTGGACCTGGAGAATCGCTGTCAGTCGCTCAGTGAGGAGCTGGAGTTCAGAAAAAACATGTTTGAAGAGGTAAGTGGTACTAGTGCATGTTTTCACCTTATGTAAACCATGTTTGTTTTCAACAAGTGAAAGCAACAAAGAGTTTAGGTACAGAAAACAGAATGAACTAGATTTTCTGCATCATTGACAGAATCCAGAGATGAAGACTTGTTTAAAACATCTAGCAGGATCTAGATAAGAACTGTCATTTGGTTAGGCCTGTCACAATAAACAATAAATCAATTAAATGCATGATGAATTGAAACAAGCTTAATAATTTCCATTTGCATAGTTTATCGTTTTCTCTTTTTTTCTCTTTGTACTAAAAACTGGATTACAAAAGTCTTCAGTCTGGTACTTTGGTGTCAACTAGCTGATTTTGTTTTGTTTTTTAAGGGCAATTTTAAAAAGACTTCATAATTCATTTTATTTGTTACTTTATTTATTTTGGACATTAAACGCATCTTCCAGTTCCAGAATCTAAAATTGATTGATCTTTGTGAATGTGTTTGTCCATTATTATGCCATTACCACAGCTGTGTTAGATTATCTAATAGCAGCAGTAACTAATCCTTCCAAAATAAACATCAAGCCTCTGTGTATAAAGTATCCAACACCCAGAGTGAGGGAAAAAAGTGGGTTTGAGTTATTTTTAAAGGATTTTCTGCGTTATTTTTCCCTTTGCTTTGACGCAGTGCACTAAATTAATAATACCTGCATCTCCAGGTTTCATTTGGTCAACAGAATTGTTCTGTTGACCTCAGCAGCGCGGCTAAAAAATGTATTTTTGCCCTTGAGCATTGTAGGCATGAGCAACATTTCCTGGTGTAAACATGCAGGGAGATCATATAAAAATTCAGTTTAAAGGGTTCCAGATTTTATAATAGTTAATTTATCTAGTCAAAAAATCAGTGTAAAAATAAGAAGCGAACTATAGAAGTGGATGGAACCTGCTTACAGTAGACCCACCGCTCTTGACAACATGATGACTATGGATTCATGCTCCAACATTGCAGTCATACTGTAAAATGAAATGAATTCCCCAGAATCAGGCGTCTGAAAATGTATGTCCCTTCCAGGAGATGCGTGAGAGCCGCCACCGCCAGGAGCAGAGGATCGTGGAGGTGGACTCTGGAGTCAGGCAGGACTACGAGTTCAAACTGGCGCAGGCTCTGCAGGTAAGCACTTGGAACAGAGAGGAACAAGACATTTAGGGAAGAACTGTAGTGAACAACATTTTAGAACTGTTTCCATGTTCTGTCACATAAATCTTCTCCCATGACTGCTGCAGATTTTCTCGTTCTTATTAAACAATTTTATATCAATAAAGAATAGGCTTTATTGATATACTTTATCAGTAAGGTATATTCTATTCTATTGTAAACAGTCAGAACTTAGGATGGCTGTGTCTGAGGATAGCAGCAGAAGCTCTTGGAAGGGAACTGTGTGGCAGACGTTTCCTTCCTTAGACATTTTTCAGTTGCCATGGAAGCGACCTTATAAGCGACCACTAGTGTTAACCCCTTCTAGAGGTTTGAACATGGAGCTCACAAGGTGGTGATGGTGACATTTTTGACAAAGAAAAACAGCTTTGCAGCAATCCTGTGTTCAAACAGTGAGCAACAGCAGCTCTGGATGATGTGCTCCGTGGACTCAGTGAGGTCGTTTGATTGGTTGTTTATACCACTGCTTAATTTCCCCATTAATGCTGGACCTCTTTTACTCCATAATGACTCTCAAATTGAGCTGCTGGTTAAATGTTGAAACGTTGCGATTAGCTGCAGGTCTGAGCAGACTGTTGGAACAGAACGCTGAGCTGACTCCCAACTAATACAACAGTGTAGGACGAGGAGTTTGGGAGTGAAATGTGTTAACATGTGCAGAACCTCAAGGCAGTGTGTTTGTGTGATTTGTCTAGGACCTGAGGAAGCAGCATGACGAGCAGATTTCTCTCTATAAGGAGGAACTGGAGCAAACCTTTAAGGCAAAGGTAACGTAGCAGTCAGGGTTCAGCCTGCTCAGTGGAGTCCTGAGCCACATTGTTGGTGTTGGTCTGCTTCCAGCTGGATAATGCCAAGATGTCGTCAGAGATCAACGACAAGGCCATGGGCGCGGCCCGCGAGGAGCTGCAGGAATCCCGAACCCGAATGGAGAGCCTGGGCTACCAGCTGGCCGCACTGCAGAAACAGGTATGCTTCACCTCCACACACACACGCACACAGCGTTTCCCCTTGTGGGGACCAGGCTTTGGTTCTCACAAGGAGCAGTGGGACCCCACAACGTAGTATGTGTCAGGAAAATCGTCCCCTAATCCTGATTTTCCATCGACTTCCATTCATTTCTACTGCCTACACCTTACCCTTACCCTTACCCTTATCCTTATCCTAGCCCTAAGCGTTACATACCTAACCAAAATTCAATTCACACCTTAGTCCTAAATCTAACCCTTGACCCAAAAGGTCAAGGGTTAGATTGACCCTTGACCCTGATACCCTTGTGGGGATCAGGCTTCGGTCCCCACAAATTGCAGTGGGTCCCCAAAACGTAGTATGTGTCAGGAAAATGGTCCCCACAAAGTATTAGAAACAAACGCACACATTGCAACAGGCCAGTGATGGGTTCTCCTCCCAGACTACGGTGTTGAGGAGCCGGCTGTGCTTGCAGGTGTCGGCCTCAGAGGACCGCATCAGAGAGCTGGAGGACATCCTGTCTGCAGAGCGCGACAAGCACCGGCGCGCCGTGGAGGCCAAGGAGCAGGAGATGACTGAGCTGAGAGAGAGGATGAACGCCCAGCTTAGCGAATACCAGGAGCTGCTGGACGTCAAGCTGGCTCTGGACATGGAGATCAACGCATACAGGAAGCTGCTGGAGGGAGAAGAGCACAGGTATTGGAACACACAACATCTGCAGGAAAAGATTATTCCACCAGGGAGAAAGAAATGGCTTATATTTGGCCTAAAGGGAGTGGAGGCTGCAGCAGCTCACCACTGCTTCATGCTGGATGAGCTCACTTCCTGTTTGGCTCACCAGAAACCCATCTGATCTTCCTCTGCAAAGGTCTGGCAGTTCAGCCAGTTCAATTTCTCCCCCCCGGGCCCTCGTTACTGTTCATGGCTGCACATGCTCAGTTAACTACAGTCACCCCAGTGTTGCCAACTTAGGGATTTTTAGCTGTATTTAAATTATTGAGCTTGTTTTAATTTATCCTGTGATTAATTGATTTATTGCGACAGGCCCAGCCCCACCCAGCTCTGTCTGAGCAGTTCTCATGGGGTGTTTGTGGATTTCACAATTCAGTGAATTGAGCACAGTATTCAGTGAGCACTTGAATACTGAACTCAAGTGCTCACTGGAAGAGACTAAGACATTCCCCATGTGACCTCTGACCAGTATCTGGGTTTTGGTGGTCCTGTGGGAGGTCTGCTCAGATGCTTCTTCTGAAGCTCACTGATGTTCCTGGGGGCTCCTGGTGCATGATGGGACTGAAAGCTGCAGAGCCAACCACATATTCTCTGCTGGTCATCAGAGTCAGCAGAAGGAAATATTGGGATTGAAAATTAACAACTTTTATGACGAAAGGTGGTTTAATTTTTGTCAAATGTTTTTGGTCTGTTGTAATTATTAAATAATAAACCAACATGCTTTTGTTCAGACTGAAACTGTCCCCAACCCCATCGGCCCAAGTGACGGTTTCCAGGATATCGGGCTCGTCCTCTTCCCGTTCCTCCAAGAGGAAGCGAGGCGAGGTGGAGGCAGCCGACCTGTCGGAGCTGGCCAAGGGAGACGAGCAGCTGCTGGTGTCTGAGGAGGCCATGGCCAGCGGCGCCATCACCATATCACCCACCGACATGGATGGAAACGCCGTCACACTCAACAACCAGAGTGAACAGGTGGGTTCCTGACGCAGGGTAGATCCACTGGGGTCAGTGGTTAGGGGCTTCATTGACGCCTGGTGTGTTGCAGGACCAGCCTCTGGGCAACTGGAGGCTGAAGAGGCAGGTTGATGATGGAGAGGAGGTCGTCTACAAGTTTTCCCCAAAGTTTGTTCTGAAGGCTGGCCAGTCCGTCACGGTGAGCTGAGCTGAACACGCTCAGTTAGGAAGACAAAATGTTTCTCTGTTTGTCTGCTGTAGGCTGAGGAAACTACTAGTAAACATAGAAGATCCAAACTAACCATTTACAACTCCTAGTTCAAGGAAAAACTCAGATTCATAAACCACATGAACAAATGTGCCCACAGGCCTGTCACCATATCGCATTCTGCTGGACCATAAATTGTCTGAGAAGTTGTTGCAATAAATAATAATACGGTTTTGAGACTATTTTCAAGTAATAAATGGCATAATAATGCAACAACACATTCTCAAAGATCAATAAACTTTAAATCCTGATAAACATTTCACACTGGAACTGGAAGACATGCTAAATATCCTACATAAATTAATAAAACAACAGAATAGACAAATAAAATGAATTATGTGTCTGTAAACAAAATTGTCCTTCAAAAGATTGGCTAGTTGAGACCAAAACAAAAGACTGAAGAATTTTATCATCCAGATTTTGGTAGAAAGGTAGAAACCATCATGCAAACGGAAATGATTGAGTTTGTTTTAATGTATCATGTCATTAATTAATTTGTTGCAACAGGGCTATGTACCCATAATACAATATTCTGCTATATTACATGCATTCAGCAATTTCTGCATAATGATAGGAGCTTGGGAAGGAGAAACAGGTTTTGTTTGGTTTTGAATATGAAATAAACATGGAGTTAACCATCTGTCTCTGAAATCCCATTAAAACAGCCACTAAATATGAAGCGTAGTGATTAACCAAGCATGTCTGTCTGCAGTCAGCAGTGGCTTTACTGTTTAAAGTTAAATACAACCCACCCAAGTAAACCATAATAGTGGACACGTTGGTGGTTCTGCCCACAGGTATGGTCTGCTGATGCTGGTGTGGCTCACAGCCCACCCACTGACCTGCTGTGGAAGAGCCAAGCTTCCTGGGGAACAGGAAGTGTTATCATCACCTCTCTGACCAACGTTGATGGCGAGGTAAAGATGTCCGACCCACCTCATGATTTCCATTTACTACCTAAAGTGTACTGGCTGTGTGTGTTGATGACAAACCAAGGAGTTTCATTGTTGTGTTGACTGAGCAGGAGGTCGCCCGCCGCAACGTCACCAAGACTCAGATGGAAGTTGAGAACGAAGATGGGACTGAAGAGGAAATGGCTCAGAAGGTGATTATGTAACATGCTAGCCTAAACGTGATGCATGCAGGGTCTGGTAACCTGCATGCATCACGTTGCATGCAGGTTACCAGGCATGCAACATCCACACTGGACCTGGCTCTGCAGGTCACACTGTGTGACCTGTTTCATTATTAATTTTTTGTTGTAGATTTTTTGTTCACTACTTTTTCATCTTTTCTGACTTAATATTTCTGTTCTGTTTTCAATAAATGGACATCTTTGTATTTTCCTCAACAGGTCAAAGTGTCATCTAGAGAGTGCGCCATCATGTGAAGTCCTCTGGTTATATTAAAGCCTTGGAGCTTCTTAATTCTTTACTCACTTTTTTTATATGTATTTTTTATTGAAAGACACTCAGATGTTCATCATCTGATGATGTTTTTGTTGATCCAAGAAATCCTCCTCCTTATAGAAATGAAGCTTCCCCACAAAATAACCAGTAAAACCAGTGGATCCAGAAGCAGTGTTCCAGTTGAACATCCCCTCATTAATATCAGATTTAGACCTAAATGAGTGAACATATTGTTTTTAATGATTCTTTTTTGATTCTCTACAACTGACAGGAGGTCGAAACCTAAAAGACGAGCTCAGCTCAGCTCAGCGTTTTTCCTTTAAAAACGACACTTCCATTCATCTCTTAAATATTGTGTTATATTACCAGTGTGCTTAGACACAAACACTTTTTAGACTTGCATAAGTCAGGCCTCACTACATCCCTCTGTTATCTTTATTCTATTACTTTTTCTGTCATTTATTCCAAATATAAATCAGTTCATTAGATGATCACCAAATTCAACATTTCTGTATGGAAATGCTTTTCAAGGTTTAGAATCTTGATATTAAAGCATGTATACCATTGCCAAATATAGATTTCTGCGTAAGGACAAACACCTGGTGTAGATTTGGTCTCATTTAAACTTCGTGTTAGTTTGAAATGAAAATGTCTAGAATGTATTTGCTGCCATTGACTGGTTTGTAGTGAGAGAAATGTATCCAGTGTGTGTTTTTTTTGGCTACAAAGGAGCATGTGAAACACTAGGAGGAATGTTTGCTAGCTGTCAGTACAGGAACACGCAAATGTTTTTTTTTTATTATTATTATTATTTTAACAATTTTTTAAAATTATTTTTCTAAAATCAGCTTTTTTGCCCAGTTCTTAAGAACACATGGGATGAAAGCAAGTACAGATTTTAAAACTCATATTTTCAGAATAAAATTACTCACAGCCATACATCTCAGTAAGAACATCAGCCGCCTGGTGAAGGGGAAGCTATTTGTTGGGTTTTTAGCTCCATAGCAACCGGACAGTAAAAGTCTGACCTGTTGCCTTCTCTACCTCACATCAGCTCTTCCCTTTATCTCCAGTTTAGCAGCTTGTGGACCTTCAGGCCAGTTTAAGTCACTAACCATGATCATGTGTAAGCCTTCTAACATGCAGCTCAGTGTGCTGTTGAACTGGGAGCAATGGGAGTGTGCATTTCCACTGTAAATTCTCTGAACTTTGGGCTCGCAGTAAGAGGCAGCCATGTTGGCCCCATGACACTAAGAGCATTTAGGAATGCCTTTGTCTTCAAACCCTTGGCTTTGGGTGCTTTTGGATAGCTCCAAAAACATCTACTGACACTAGGTTTGTCTTAAGGAAGTCAAAGCTAGCATCGGCTGTCACACATCATCATCCCACCCTGGTTGGCCAGACACTGTCTTATTCTAAGCTACAAAACGTCACAATCTCTGGAGTTTACCTAGTGGAGAAGGCCACATGATGTTGAGTTATTGCCTGTTTGTTTGTTTCCTGCCACTGACCAGGGATGACTAACATGTCTTCCTGGTGTCCTCTCCACTACGTCAGAGGTTGATTGACTTTCAGAATAAATCACTTGTATTAAAAGGTCTTAGCATCAGTGATGAGCTGTGTTTGAAACAGTCAAAGGGACTGCCATTTTTCTTAGAAAAGAGAATCATGTTGGTCTACATTTCCTCTCCCAGTTGCTTGGTGTCAGATACCAAAGCAGCAGCTGGCTTTAACCCGGTCAGCTCCGGTCCACAACCATCATAGATCCCTGGACAGGAAGCTCCTATGATGCAGTGATTAAAGCGATCATCATCCATACTGGTTACTGTAGTAAGTGAGAAATGTTTGATTTGGTTGAGGTATTTTAGTAACTGACTTTTGTGTTTGAATGTTGTGCTTTATAATGTTAGTTTGGTTTTTACTTTTTATTTTAAGTTTGTGATTTTGTAATAATTGTGTTGATATTTACTATGATAATTGAATTGGGAGTTTTGTGATGAAATGTTTGTAGATTGTTGATTCTGAAGCAGAACCTGAACATGTAGCCACAGAGATATGAAAATTAGCCTGATCTGAGAACAGCAGCTTATCAGCAGAGCACCACCACCTGGCTGCTGCATGTGCTACAGTCTCTGGTAGATAAGTTCAAACTGACTGTTTTACATTAAACAATTAGATTTTATGGAGAAAGTTTCAAGTCTCAAATTTTAAGAGGCACATTTGCCTTTCATGTGAGATATGACATGACTAAACACCAATTCTTTTATCCATAATGACCTGGTAACCTACTTTTTTACATACAATAAAGATTTTACATTTAATTTATGGAATTGTTTATATATATATAAGGTTTCATAAAGTACTGGCAGGTTTTAGTCTAGATCAGTGATGAGAGTACTGTACAATTCTCAACATGTTTGATTATGACATATGTTCCCCTTTCATTTTTAAAACACTGTTCACTGAAATACATTTTAATTAGCAACTTTCACTAATGAAAATTAAGTATTTATTTTAATTTTAAGTTACTGTGCACAGTTAGGCAAGTCTTGTTTTTATTGATTCTTTTAATTAAGTACAGTGCTCCCAGTTAATCCAATATATTAATAAACCTCAAAGAGTAAGAATATATATGCACAATTATGCAACTAAACAAAAAACAGTTTTCCATCGAACTTAAGTATTTTTATCTGAATGAGAATTCAACCTTTCAATAAACATTTTTTAAAATAAAATTAACTAGTGATCAATATGGCCATCCTTTTCAATAACTGATCGGCTTTCCATTCATTAAGTCCAAAGGTTTTTTTGATCTGTTGAAGAACTTGCTGTGCAGCAGCAACCTCAACCTCCGGCTGGTCAGAGTTGAACAGTTCTTTACTGGAAGTCTCCCACTGAAGAACTGTCTGCAAGTTCTTAACTAGGTTCAGGTCAAGTGAGGTCAGAAGTTTTTCATCTTCAAGTCCTTTTCCAGCCAGCCATTCAGAGGACTTGAATGCATGTGATGGTGTGTTGTCCCCCATGAAATGTTTTTTTTTTTTTTTTTTGGACAGACTTTATCCTGAACCACTGGGTGAGGAAAATATCTTCTAAAAACTTCCAGGAGTTGTTGGAGTTGAGTTTGAGTCCATCTTCAACATGCCACCAGACATGGATCCTAAAATATAACATTGATCATTATGATCAAACAGTTCCACTTTAGTTTCACTAGAGGATGACTGGGTCACTCAAGACTCCATGCAACATGATCCAGGGAGATGAGAATCAGTGATTCTTGAGAATAGGGACAAAACAGCTCCTATGGATAAAGCACAAAATTTGAATAAAATATACACAAAATATATATATATATTTTTTTCAAATATCTGACTAAACTAACCTGGGTCATGTGAGCACAACAATGTATATTTTCCTGGTGTTTGTTGAATAATATTTTTTTATTTTATACATAGTAGTAGGTGGATGGTGTCTTTAAAATAGTTTGTCCTGGAGCAGAACTCAATACATTATAATAGTTTAAAACAATTAAAGGAATACTAAGATAATATATAATGACAATTAAGTATAAGTATTCATATAAATAATTATAAAAGTATCAAATTGAATTAAAAATCATTTTTATATTTTTTCCAACTCCATTGAAATTTCTCCCAAGTTTTTGTCAACACCGTCAGAAAAGAATGTAAAAAAAATCAGGCATTATTGGGCATAGACATAATATAAGATATATATATAATATATATTATTATTGTTGCTGGGATCAGGCAAAGATGACGTCCGGAGTTGTCTTTGTGAATCAAAATGGGTTTTATTTACCTTAACACAAGAAAACTCAGTCTGCCACACCTGGTGCCCATCACTCCTCAGCAGACGAAAAAACAGAACACCAGCTCGCAAAGTGGCACGTTCAAGGAACACACGTAAAACAGACACATTCAATGACATGTAGGAAATATTAGTACAGACAATCAAGGCACAAGACAGACACAAAATAAAGTTCTGGAGGGATTAGCTTATTATAATAAACAAAACAAATTGGGTGGGGTTCCTGTGAACTACAATAAACATGAACAGTAAAATAAATAAATAAACTAATAAATTCAGTGTATCTCACA